TAACACAAAACACCAGCTACACTGCTCCAAGGGAATCTGTAAGGAAGGACTAAAGGTTTGGGAGGAGACTGGAAAAGCTGGAGTAGTTGCACTAGTCAGTGTCAGGGAACCAGGCAAATAAAGTCCAAAGGCTAACCACAGTCAGACACTGGAGAGTGGAATCACAAATGGTTTCTGTGTACTAAAGAAAACCTGTGACAAACGTAGAGTGATAAGCCTGCAGCCTATGTGAAAGAAGAGTGAAGTTTTATTCCATAAAGAAACAAAATATCCTGTGTAAATATCCCATCTCCCTGTTGAGTTTTCTGTGAAATAAAGAACTGTGCTGTTTGCCTTTCACAAGTACTGGTCCCTGACTTTTTGGTAAAGATTTATGTCCAGTCACAAGAAATGTAAACCCTGAAGAGACTACTTTTTAGTGTGAACTAAGTGGGAAGTGCTGGATTGTAGGCCCTGGCAGATGGAGTCAGCTAAGAGAAAGTAAAGGTGATCAGTCACTTCAGAGTACAATCCCTGAATCCAGTGTAAGTATTTATATACAGGGATGCCCCAACTCAGTCACGGCAATGGCCGGGAAGAGGTTGTTGTGCCATAGATGTTAATGTGTTGCACAATGTGATGCTTGCCTTGCCCTCCCCCAAAAGCTCCTGTCACCAGCAGAGGCCTAGACACCATATCTGAAGAGCACCTGTGAGATTAGCTGTTGTAGATTTTCCGGGTCGTACGGCCATGGTCTTGGCATTGTAGGACCTGATGTTTCACCAGTAGCTGTGACTGGCATCCTCAGAGGTATAACACAGAAAGACGGAGTATTCGCTGTGAGATTATTCTGAACTACACGGTAGTGTAAGGTTCTCAGCGAGGTTTCATGGCTGACAATGAAGATGTAATACAGTTGCTAGAGTTTTATAGAGTACAGTTACTAATCCTTTATGCCCACTTAAGAAACAGCTGGGAAGAGTTTCATATATTTCTACTAGGTCTGCTTTATCATCCAGAAAGGGCTTCTCATTCATGACTCTCCAGCATCCCCATCTGGGAGCTTCTAACCAAAGGTAATGAAGGGAAGGGTTTTTTGCTGAGCTTTAATGGGAACCCTAGCACTGTCTCTCTCTTGCACAGTAATACACAGCCGTGTCTTCTGCTTTCAGGCTGTTCATTTGCAGATAGAAGTTGGGGCTGTCCTTGGAAGCTGTGAATCGCCCTTGAATAGCAGGGGAATAGTAACTGTTCCCAGAAGCAGAACTGTAATAGTAAACTAGCCATTCCAGTCCTTTTCCGGGCTTCTGCCGGACCCAAATCATCCAGGAGCTGTTAAGGTTAAACCCAGTGACTGCAAAGGTCAATTTATGGGATTCTCCTGGTTTTTTCACTACAGGATCTGATTGGGTCAGAACCACCTGTGAGAGGACACCTGGTGGGGAAGAAAAAAAGGAGAAACAGTTGACAGGGAAACAGCAACAGACAATGGTTATTACGTGTAATATAATGATGGAAGAAATTAAAATGTAGAAGCCCAACATACATGGGGAGACAGCCAGCAAAATAAGTATGGGCAATGTGGGCAGCATAGCGGAGAGGTGGCCAAGGTCTCGACTAGATTCTGTCTCCTGAGTCTGGGCGAGGTGGAGAGACTTTGAGGGTTTAAATCGGAAGCCAGAATGGACTCGTTTTTGCATAAATTGCAGACAGAAAAGGAGGGGACAGTATTTATGTAGGATCACAACTCTTTGGACTCTAAGATAGCAGACTTTCTGAAGGGGGGGTTAGAATTTGCCTGTGATGTGAGGCTGGCTCTATTGACAGCAGTTACCTGGAGTAATTTCTCTGCGGACTTAGCAGCTGGTGGTTCATGCTGCAGCCCTCGTGAAGCTGGATTTTCAACACAAACTTGACAATCGTTGACCACAAACACACTTTAGTGTTTCTCCATTTGAGGATCTGTAAGGAAGGAGGGTGTAACGGATTGCAAAGGAAAACAGGCTTTTTAAAATGCTGCTTGTGTCTGGGAGTCAGGGAGTTAAAGAGTTAATCTTCCCTGGAGAGAAAAGCTTATGTGATTGGCTGCTCTACTTGCTTTCTGATTGGCCAACATCAGCTGAGAGAGGGCATAAAACAGCTGATCTGAAAGGAAAATAGTTTTTTTGCAATTGGTCTTTCCTTTGGTCTTGGTCTGACATCTAACATCTG